GATCTGTTTAGTTCCTTGTTACATTATCTACATTCTTGTCTAAAATTTAAAGTCAACATCTACTTTCAATTCAAAAAGATACATATATATATACATCTATATAGCATATATAATATATGCATGGATAGATAGTAGGTAGTATAGAAACTGGGAAGCAGAGGAATGAAGTTAAGGCTGTGTTTTTATGTCCTAAGGTTGTTTGCTGATAATGCACATGTATGTGTGTCTGTGAGTGGGTGTGTGCACATGTGAAGACCAAAGTTCAGATCCTCAGCACCCATGGGTGCCGGGGTCGGTGTGGAAGTCCACCTAATTCCATCATGTGGGAAGTAGAGACTGAGGTTTCCAGAGCACGCTGGCTAACTAGATAGACTCCAGTCAGCAAGCTCAGAATTTAACTGAGAGACCGTACCTCAAAATAGAAGGTGGGGAGCAACACAGGAAGACATCTTAGTCAATCTTGGGCCAACAAACATGCACATGCACCACAAATGTACATCTACACACACGTGAACACACATACACCGAAAAGAAAATGGAACAGACTGAGAAAAAGAGTCAACAAAGTTAAAGTATGCTACTATGCAGAGGACAAAATCATACATTTTTTTGTATTTTTAACTTTATTCCTTGTTTGTTCTCATTAAATGAAAACAAAAAAGTTATGTTTTTAGTTTTCATAAAATTTAAATCATCAAATTAAACTTCTAGAGGAAGAAGCAGATAGTCTGAATAGGCCTATGCCTATTAAATAAATTGAAGACATAATTACCCAAACGGAAAGGACCAGGCTCAGATAAATTCACTAATAAAACTTAGCGAACATTGAAGAATGCCATTGTACATAGGCAGAGGCTGCTGGATCTCTCAGTCTGAATTCAACCTTCTCTCTAGACTGAGTTTCAGGACAGCCAGGGCTACATAGGGAGACCTTGTCTTAAAAACAAACAAACAAAAAACAAACCAAAACAGAGTGTTTTTAAACTGTGGTCTACATCTTTTGTAGAAGACAAAAAGAAAAAGAAATACTTTCAAACTCAATCTATTACGCATTGAATTTTTGCACACTACACCAAAGGCATGATTCATAACAAAAAGAACTGAGATAAGCTATACTACATTGTGATTTTTAAAAAATCTCCTAAGTTGCTGACAAGCAAGAAAAAGACAAAGTACTTTCAAAATTATACTTGATAAGTGACTGTTATCCAAAATATGCAAATAACCCTTCAAACTCAAGAATTAATGCTAAACTTGTTAGAAAAAATGAGCCAAAGACTTTAGCCTCAATAATAAGAGAGGAAGAAAGCATATTCAGACACTCTATATCCTAAATCATCAGGGAAAGGAAGACTAAATGGAACAACGCCACACACCTATTAAAAACCTCCAGATCTTGACAGCACCAAATGGGAACAAATCACATGAAGCAACAGAAATTCTCATTCAACCTCGGTGGGAAGGCAAAGGGTACAAGCACACCAGAAAGCAGGTCACCAGTTTCCGAGGCAACTGATCATAGAGGCCTGTGAGGTAGCTCCTCAGGTACCTGCTGCACAGCATGGCAACCTGAAAGCAAGAATGGCAGAAAGGGAGAAATGACACCCCCAAAGTTGTCGTCTGACTTATATATGTGTGCCTGTGCCATAGCACAAGTGCTCAAACACACAGACACATAAACAGCAGCAACAAATAATAGTTATCATAATAATATAATAATAAACAATTATGAACACACTTCTGCCAGAAGACCGATACGCATGCCTTTGCTTTGCCTGCAGGAGGCGCGCTTGTAGCAGCTTTGTTTATAACTGTCCAAACTTGGAAGCAACCAATATGGCATTCCTTCAATGGATAATGAAATAAATTGTTCCACTGAGAAATGGAATATTACTGTGTCGAAAAGAAATAAGCTATCAAACCTATCAAACCATTAAAAAAAAAACGTGAAGGAAATTTCAGTGCAACACAGCAAGAAAAGCATCGTGTGACCAGTTTACACGTTGCATGGGGTCAACTGTACAACATTCTTGAAAAGACAAACTGCAAAAAGAGTGTTTGCTGAGATGCTGGAAGGAGAGAGAGATGACTATCTTGGAGGAATTTCTGAGCACAGAGACTCCTCTGTGTAACACTAATGTTATTCGTTTGAATAGTGTGTAAATGTAGCGATGAATCATTATACATCTGCCCAAATCCAGAGAATGCACTGCATCCAAAATGAACCTTAATATGAACTATGAAATCTGGACAATAACGTGCCACCATGGGCTCATCAGTTGTAAGAAACATATACACTAGTGTACTTGTTTTGCTTTGGTTTGGTTGAGTTTTGGCAGTACATGGAAGATTGTTAATGAATGTGGGGATTGGGGAGGGTTTTTCACTTTGTTGTTTTGGAATACAGTCTTATGTAGTCAAAGCTGGTCTGAACTTCCTGTGTGACCTAGTCTAAAAGTCATAATTTCTTTGTCTTAGAATCCCGAGTTCTGGTCTTATAGGAATATACCATCATGCTTAGCTCCAGTGAAGGATGCTGGTACTAGAAAAGGCTTCATGTTTTGCAAGGACAGAGATCACATGAGACACATCTGTACTTCTCCACCTACAAATTCCCTCTTAAAGAGCCTATCTTTTGTTAAAGAAATGTCTAAATAAAACCAAAAATTACCTTCAAGGTTCAGTGGCAAGATTGCCTCAGGCAAATTACTTGACTACCCCCCTCCCCACACACACACATACACGATGACTTTCCATCTGTTCGAGGAGATACAAATGCTAAGCATTTCATAAAGTTATCATCTGACTGAGTTCATATTTTCCAACTATTTAAAATAGTGACAGACAAATTTGATGAGATAAATTAAAAATAATAGTCACAACTGCATTGTAATTTACTGTTGATAAATGATTTGTAGCACTGGGTAGACTTACTCCTACTTTGTTCAGCTTTGGGGTCTAACATATGGGAAGTATTAAAAAAAATTATCAAGATAAGCGAGACGCAAGTAATGGCAGAGCTGCCAAGGAGATGGGGACTTTTCTATATAATTGATCATAGAATTTGACCACCAACAGTTTTTATTACATTAGAGAATATTCCTGACAAACAGGGTGCATGCAAGTGTCAAAACATCTTCCAAATACAAAATCGCCTCATTCATATTTGAGAGGAAGAACGATGTGTTGTCTACTGGTCCTTCCCATTCATTTAATAAGCTGCCTCGCTACAAACACCGAAAGAATAAAGGTATGACTGAAGTCATCCTGTTTAGGATGTACTGCTTTTCATCACGTGAATCAAAGATAATTTTTAACAATTCTTTATAGTTATGTTTGGATAAGACTTAAAGAGAATCTTCTGTCCCTAACAGAGACAACAATAAAAGCAATCACAACTCAATAGATAAGAAAAAAAAAATGAGCTGGATGCTCGTCCCTAACACGGGAAGAATGACCATTTCCCTTTACACAATTACAAGGTATCTCGGACTTCTCAATCACTCAACACTTGGGGTATAGCCTAATGTCTTACCAGGAAACGAAGACACGCCGTTCAGTGTCCAAAATGAACTCTAGATAATGCTCAATAAGCATTGTGAAAAACGTACTCGTTTAACTCAAGTCTGACTTCGGTCAAAAAGCAGACATTGATCATGATTTTTTTTTTCTCCCCGCCCACTTCTCCCTCCTCCTTCTCTTCCCACATAAGAGCCCTTCGCCGACCCGTAGATTGGCAGGTCACGGGGGCTGGCTGGCGCATGTGCACTGGTTGGTCTTTGGTGGGTTACCATGAAACCTTGTCTGTCCTTGTCTTTAGTGGGGAGTGTTCCCTCGCATCCCCTGACACGAGGGGGTGGGCTGAAGCTGTGGCTGTGTGAGTTGTGGCTCCTACTGATGGGCTCTGGTTTGAAAGCCAAATTCCTGCCTCATGAAGAGGATGTGGACTTTATCAATGAGTACGTGAATCTCCACAATGATATCCGAGGCTCCGTCTTCCCCGCAGGGTCTAACCTGCGCTTCATGGTGAGGCCGGAAAGCGGTTTCCCACACCTTCCATCACCCAGACCAATTCTCTAAAGCGTGGGGAATCTGTCGCTCTGATAACATGATTAGTTCCTTGGTTTTACATAGGACCAAGTGTGGAAGAAGTAGGGGTACCCCTTGGAGGTGCAGGTTTTAAGGGACGCCAATTTAAAAATGCTATTTTAATACAACTGTTTTTCTTTTTTTCTAAAAACATTAAGAATCAATGCAACCTTACCAATGATCAACCAAATAACAAAACCAAGAGAGACTCCTTGGATCCGAACTAGTAGAAACTGAGACGCTCGGGGTAGGACAAATACGCGGTCAGATCCTATTTTATTCAAAAATTTGGAGCTTTTGCCCATTGTAAACGTTTTCCCATTAATTCTGCCTTAAAAAAAAAATAAAGCTTGTTTATTAGGGTTTCCCCCTCCCTTTTCTTTTCTTCTAGGCTTTCAGGGGTTTCGTTTGTTTGTTTTTATCACTGATTTGATTTTTGCTCCTAAGGCTTGTCTTGGCCCCCTTGTTAGGCTGGATACTTCCAGGATCAGAAGGCATGGGGCTGGAGGACTCTGTAATCAGCAGCTTCTAATTCAGGGGTCCTACTTACTAGTCAGAGGGATAGGACCCGAGACATACCTAGCCTTGGGAGGAGATGTGACTTCTCAAGTGCCCAAAGGGTCATTAATTGGTTATTAACTTAATGCCAAAAGGACACATTATGACAAAGAAAAGGACTTTTGTGACTGCTCGCTGCCAGTCTAAATGGGCCTCTCAAACATCCGGGTAGAAAAATACCCCTTAGGAAAGGTGTTTGTTCTGAAGACTAGAAGTACATAGAGCCTTTCTAAAAGGTCGATTGGCACAGTGGTTCCTTTGGCATTGCCCGCTCTCACCCCTTGAACACAGGCTGTCGGCTCTCCCATTGGATAGACAACCTTGTGTGCTTAACATTCCTATACTTCCAATGGGCTGCCTATCTGTTGGTTGGAAAAATGTTAACTGTGGGGCTGAAGAGATAGCCCGGTAGTTAAGAGCACTTGCTGCTCTTGCAGAGGACTTGGGTTTGATTTCTAACCCTCGCAGACTACTGTAACCCAGCTTCCAAGGGGCTTCTTAGGGCATCAGGCGTGCTGGTGATGCCCATATGTGCATGCAGGTGAAACATACATGTAAAAATAAAAATAGACATCTGTGCAAAGTATTGAAACTGTGATGAGGTCTACATCCTCCTTGCATATGCTTTTGGTACTGTCTTAGAAAAAGCATTACCAAATCCAATTTATTAAGTTTTCCTCCACATTTTCAAAACGACAACAGCAAAGCATAATTGCAGGTCTTAGATTTAGGTCTTTGATCTCTTTGTGATTATTTTTTTGATATGTTAAAAGGGTCTAAGTCCGTTCTTTTTGCATGGATATCCAGCTTTCCCAAGACTTAGTTTAAAGTACTGGGGTTTTTTTGTTTTGTTTTGTTTTCTTTTGTTTTGTTTTTTTTTTGCCTATTAAATGGTCTTGGCAGCCTGTGTGTGTGCAGAAATTTATTGTGACGCTCTTTATCTCATCCCACAGTCTGCCAAGCCCTCTTCTGAGTTTATTTTCTTTCAGTACTTTTTCTTTAATTCTCTCCAGTGTCCCTTAAGACTCTGCCGGCCTTGCTTTTGGTGGAGGTCACTCTACTTTACAGAATGTTTGTGTTAAGTCTCCCAGTCCCTGGCCATAGAAACCAGTCTTTTCCTTACTGTCTTCTTTGATTTTCTTTAGCAACATTCTGTGGTTTAAAAAAAAAATAGTTCAGTTTGGTTTAAGTTTATTATATAATCCTGAAAAGGCTATGTAAGATAGTATTAGAATGAGTGGTTTAATCTCTCACTTGAATATTTCAGTTATAGATGGATTAATGGTCCTTTGTCTTAGGAAGTAGTCATTTTATTTTTAATGGCATGAAAAGAAGATTTTCCTACAAATATTGCTCAGAAAACAAAAACCAAAAACCATGTAAACTGTAAATAGTTATTCTAAGAGAGTAAACAAGAAAAATATTAGAGCATTAAAGCAACATGATTTTTAATTATCTTTCTTTCTCTGGTTTTTGTATGTGTTTATTTTCAGACTTGGGATGTAGCTTTATCCCGTACTGCTAGAGCATGGGGGAAGAAGTGTGTGTATCAGCGTAATACTCATCTAGACAAAGCACATGAGTCCCATCCCGTATTTAATGGTATTGGTGAAAACATGTGGGTTGGCCCTGAAAATGAATTTACCGCAAGTCTCGCCATTCAAAGCTGGCATGAAGAAAAGAAAAGTTATAACTTTCAAAATGACACTTGCGTTGAGGACAACGACTGTTCTCATTATATTCAGGTATCTGATTTGTATATGATCATTAAATTAGTAGATTTCTTAATTGCTTTCTCTAGTTTTCTGCTTTAAACTTATAATCGCAAATGATTAAATTACTCCTTTGTCTTAAACGCCCACCATTCCATCTATTATGTGAATCGTACAAGAAATTAGCATTGTCGGCATACCTGATGATCAAGGGGGTTGTTCCGAAACTAGCATATGGTAGAAATGCTGGGGAGACTCTTAAAGAAAATGTCTTGCAAATTGCTAATCATGAGCAAGCATAAAAGGTGTCCTAATGCCCACAGATCAGTAGGTAGACTGTATCTAATGAACTGACTTCTAGTGTTATTTCCACCACCCATGCCCAGAACTCCAGATGCCCTCCTTACCCCCCAGGAAGTCTCAACCACCTTTAATTTTCTGTACTCATTTCTATTATTTTACACAGTAACTGAAACAGCTCATCCCACATGGAGAACCGAGACCTTGTCTTTTTCCCCCACATATTCTCACAACAACCCAACTCTGCTCAGTTTCTTCTCAGTTTATGTCAGAAATCAAAGCTTTTGAATGAAAGTGAATTTGTTTAAAACATGACATGATCTCAATCAGCTTACATCATATTCCATTTAAAACATAATTTTGAAATTTCTCCATGACTTTGAACTTCACTCTTTTCAAATGAATGAATTCTTCTAAGAATTTTTTATCCACTCTTTTTTATTAGCTCTTCCTTATACATAGCAAGGCTAGACTCCTTAATATAATTTTAATCCCCTTCCTGTTACTATACAGTTTTCTCTTCTGTAATTCAAGCTGCCAAGATATTCTTGTCCCTTATATTGGACCTGCTAGACTTTGCTTCAACTCTTATATTTTATTTTATTACTTTGTTATTTTTGCAGTAATGGGAATAGCTCCCCGGGCCTCCCTTATGTTACTTGGCAAGTGGTCTATGCTTAGATTTTTGTCTCTGTTCTTTAATATATCACTATATTTCTTCAATAATTAAAATTTTACAACATAAGTTTGTTAAAAATTAAGTAGGAGATAGCAATGACTCCCCTTCCCCACAAGTTATGAGCCAAAAGAACTTTCTCCTTACTTGAAATTTTACTAATATTGAGATTACACAGAGAATTTCTGGGATGTCTCTCATTATTCCAGTCCCTTTCCCCTGTAATTCAGGGTCTGTTTCTCTGTAATAGGGAACAGATCTCCTCTAGGTCTTTCCTAAAAGAAAGCCCGTACTTTGTTTCATTTTGTGATCCAGCTTCCTCTATAAGAGGAAAGACAGATGCTTGGTGCATTGTTACTCTCACGTCTTCCTCCCTGCATGGAGCCCTATTATTCCTCTTTTCTCCCTTCTGCTAGAAACTTCCACCTCTACAAAACTTTTCGTCTTCTCTCTCTGATCTTTCTTCCTCACTGCCAAAGACATAAAACTGTCCAATGTAACCGGGTATTGGCAAAGTGCCTCATCAGTGGTGATTTCCACTGGCTTAGAGCATTGTCCTACATCAGTGTTCTTCAACTGTTTTCATCATAAGAAACTATGACGATATTGATGTAACTACATTTGGGGAAAGCTCCCTGAGTCCAAGACAGTGCTTTGCCTGGGTCGAAAAGCAATTTTGGATCATGCTTGAATTTCTTGGTTAAAGATTCTGTGTGAATGGAATAGAGTATGTATAGTGTAAGTACTGCTAAATAAGTTTTACAATTTCTTTGACATGCTTATTTCAGCTTGTTTGGGACAACTCCTACAAAGTTGGTTGTGCTGTTACTCCATGTCAAAGAATTGGAAATATCCACTTTGCAGCACTTTTCATATGCAACTATGCACCAGGGTGAGTGACTTCAAGGCAATAACCCTTACTTGTGATGTGTATTTGAAAAGAAGTCTGCAGCGTTGCCCTCTGACCTCCACAGGTACAGCATGGCACCCCATCTATGTGTGCATGTGTATGTGTGCACACACACAGAAATAGATAAGCAAAATTTAATTTTTAAAATTCTCTGAAGTTGTGTGAACTGAGGACATCTGAGAAGGGGGTAGCTATGGTTAGAGGCTGCGGTGAAGAGTAGATGGTAAGCAGACAAAACCGAAAAAACAATGCCATGTTAAAGATGCTGGAATTGATCTGGGGAGCGGCAAAGTCATTGGAAGGTCATAAGAAGTTGTCTGCCATGATCTCATTTATGTGTTGTAAGGACTGTTTTATTTTTATTACTCTAGGTGCTCCATAGAGCGTAGACTACAGAGAGAGCATGTGCAACCAGGGTACCCCCTTAGTGCAGATACACTTGGTGATATCTGGAGTAGGGACTTAGCACATGGATTGGCTTTCTACTACTGCACACTAAATAGCACAAACACAGTGCTTATGAACAGCATTCCCTTGCTATCAAGACTCTTAGGTCATGAGTTCTGCCACATAACGGCTGGGTTTAGTGCTTAGGGCCTCCGAGACAAAAATCAGTGTGTCTACTACGTTGTCAATGGGGGGAAACTTGCTCCAAACTCATTCAAGCTGAATTCATCAAGAATTCAGTTGCTTGAGGCTTGTTGTACTCAGGTTCCCATTTGCCTTATGAGTGTCAGCCAAGCATTTCTCTCATCTGCTGAAAGCTCTGTATTCCTTGATACACAAGCCCCCCCACACACACACACAAACACCCATCAGGTAAGCAAAAGCCAAGCCTCGTACTTCAAATGATTGATTTCTCTAATCAACCAAAGAAAACTCTGCTTTTAAAACATGCTAGTGGCTAGCTCAAGCTCACCTTATTCCAGATGAGAAAATTATGAATCAAATCCATAGTGTTCAGTGTCCCAAGACTTACATATACAGAGCTAGAAGATCTTGTGGTTTGTTTTTAGCAATCCATCATACTATTTTTTAAAGAACATTTTTATTCACATTTTTGGTAATTTCATACAGTGTACCCTGATCACCTTTACCTCCACTGCACACCCACCCCCTCCTTCCAACCTCCACTTCCTGTCCTATTTATTTGTTTATAGAAGAGACTCTCACAGCAGATGTCCTGGCCTCTGGCTCTTACAGTCGTTCTGCTCCCTTGCTATGAAGTTCCCTGAGCCTTTAGTTAGAGGTTGTGTTGTAAAGGTATTAACTGGGGGCAGGTACCCCGTAGTCAGTTGGTTTCTACATTTGGACCAGTTAAGACTTTCTGTAATGGTCTCTTTATTAGGGTTCTATAGAGCAACAGAACTTACAGGATGAATAGATAGATAGATAGATAGATAGATAGATAGATAGATAGATAGATAGATAGATAGATAGGTGGTTTATTGGAATATCTTATAGGCTGCAGTCTAGCTAATCCAACAATGGCTGGCTGTGAACAGGAATCCAGTAGTTGTTCCGTCCACAAGCCTGGATCTCTCAGCTGCTTTTCAACATATGCTAGAATCCCCAAAACACAGGCTCTCATGCCAGCCAAGGAATGAACGTGCTAGCAAGCAGAGGGCAAGGATGCAAAAAGCGAAAGCTTCCTTTTTCCATGTCCAGCAGAAGGTGTAGCCCAGATTATAAGTGCATCTCCTATCCCAGGGTCCAGATCAAAGGTGTGCATCTTCCTACTTCAAAGGTCCAAACTAGAAGTGGATTCCCCCACTTTAAGCCAAGCAAATATATATATTTGCGTAGCTGCCATTTCTGGATTGTAGTTCATTTGAGATGGAGTCATATTGACCACCAAGCACAGACATTGTAGTCTCTGTCTGCTGCCTAGAAAAGCTTCTTTGGTGAGAGTGAAAACCGCACTTTTCTGTGTGTGTAAGAATAAGTCTCTAAAGAGACTGCGGTGAGAAACTACCCTGATTTAGGCAAGTGACAGCAATAGGCTCTCCTCTGCGTTCCATGGCCTTGCCAGCCATAGGAACTCAGTGCACAGTTTCAGGTCTGGACTCCTTCCTGTCAATCAGGGCTGCAGCCCAATTAGGTGGCTGCTATTGGACACCGAGGTTAGTCACCTAACAGCATTGTGAATCGAGCTTCAGTGAACACTGCTATGCAAATACCTTTGCCGTACATCCGCTCAAAGTTGGGTCTATTTTCTTAACTAGGCCATCTTTCTCAAATAGTAAAAGGTGGGGGAAACGTCGTTCAATTGGCATGAATTAATAACATAACATAAACTTAATGAGCATTAAATGGCATAAAAACTGAGTCTTCTCTTACTTTCTACTTTTTTCTAGAGGAACGCTGACAAGGAGGCCTTATCAAGCAGGGGCAGTTTGTTCCCGGTGTGGCAATGCCGACAGATGCACAGACTTCCTATGCAGTAAGATAAAATGAATCCATGAGATGTAAGACCGTGAGAGAGCAGAGTGGCTGACACTGACTTTGCTGTGCTGTTATTATTGATCCCGACTCTAAGGCTGTCACTATTCTGTCGCTATACTGTGCACCTATTTTTATTACTCCAGGTGCTCCATAGAGCGTCGACTACAGAGAGAGCATGTGCAACCCTTAGTGCGGACACACATAATATCTGGAGTAGGGGCTTAGCACATGGAGTGGCTTTCTACCATTGCACACTAAATAGCACAAACACAGTGCTTATGAACAGTATTTCCTTGCTATCAAGACTCTTAGGTCATGAGTTCTGCCACATAATGGCTGGGTTTAGTGCTTAGGGCTATAGGTATTTCCAAACTGCAGAGCCTTCTCTGCTCTCTTTGGCCCTATGGCTTCCCATAAGGAAACATAGGTATCTCAGGGTTAAGGAAAGAGAGCTAACAGTTACTCTCTGAAAGAACTTCACAACTAACTCCTTAAATAGTAGCCAGTTTGGTCTGTCAACATGTAGAAGGATGCAAATAGATCCGTATCTATCCCCATGCACAAAGCTCAAGTTCAAATGGATCAAAGACAAGACTTCAATATAAATCCAGCTATACTGAACCTCATAGAACAGAAATTGCAGAATAGCCTTGAATGCATGGGCATAGGAGATCACTTCCTAATATAACACCAGTAGCAGACACTGAAACCAACAATAAACAAATGGGACCTCCTGAAACTGAGAAGCTTCTGTTAAGCAAAGGACACAGTTAACAAGACAAAATGGCAGCCTACTGAATGAGAAAAAAAATCTTCCACCAATCCCATATCAGATAGAGAGCTGATCTCTAAACTATACAAAAAAAAAAAACCTCAAGAAATTGATCATCAAAGAACAAATAATTCAATAAAAAAATGGGGTACAGACCTAAACAGAGAACTCTCAACAGATCAATCTAAAATAGCTGAAAGACACCTAAGGAAATGCTCAACATCCTTAGCCATCAGAGAAATGCAAATCAAAACAACTCTGAGATTCCATCTTAAATCTGCAAGAATGGCCAAGATCAAAAACTGTTAACAGCTTATGCTGGAAAGGATGTAGGGTAAAGGGAACACTTCTCCATTGCTGGTCGGAGTGCAAGCTGGTACAGCCCGCTTTGGAAATCAGTATGGTGATTTCTCAGAAAATTAGGAAACAACTTTCCTCAATAGCCAGCAACGCCATTCTTGGGCATATTGTCAAAGGATGCTCACTAACAAGGACATTTACTCAACTGTATTCATAGCAGCATTATTTGTAATAGCCAGAACCTAGGAACAACCTAGATGCCCCTCAACCAAAGAATGGAGAGAGAAAATGTGGTTGATTTACACGATGGAGTACTACTCAGCAGTTAAAAAAATGACAAATGGATGAACTAGAAGAAACCATATTGAGTGAGGTAACACAGACCCAGGAAGATAAACAGGGTGTGTACTCACTTATAAGTAGATATTAGACATAAAGCAAAGAATAACCAGCCTATAGTCCATAACCCCAGGGAAGCTAGGTAGCAAGGAGAACTACGTGGATCCCCTTGGGAAAGGGGAAATAGACAAGATCTCCTGAGAAAATAGGGAGCGGGGGTGGAGTCGGGAGGGCAGAAGGGGAAGAGGAGGGGAGAATAGGAAGGGGAGGAGAACATGAGGGAATGAAATGGTCAAGATAAGGACTGGACAGAGAAGGAGAGAAAGGGAAGGGATACTTACTTGAAGGAGCCATTATGGGGCTAGCAAGAAATCTGGCACTAGGGAAATTCCCAGGAATCTGCAAGGATAACCCCAGCTAAGACTTTAATCAATAGTGGAGAGGGTACCTGAACTGGCCTTGCCCTGTAATCGGATTGATGACTACCTTAATTGTCATCATAGAATCTTCATTCAGCAACTGATTTCGGATGCAGAGGCAGAGATCCACAGGGACGTACTGGGTTGAGCTCCCAAAGTTCAATTCAAGAGAGGGAGGAGCGATAATATGAGCAAAGGGGTCAAACCCATGATGGAAATACCCACTGAAATAGATTACTTGAGCTGATTGGAGCTCACTAACCCCAGACAGACAGAAAAGGAACCTGTATAGGACCAAACTAGACCCTCTGAATGTGGGTGAGAATTGTATGACTGGGCAGTCTGTGGGGCCACTGGCAGTGGGACCAGGTTTCATCCCTAGTGCTTGAACTGACTTTTTTGAGCCCATTCATTTTGGAGGCACACCTTGCTCAGCCTATATATAGGCAGAAGAGGCTTGGTCCTGCTGCAAAGTGATGTGCTAGACTTTGCTGACTCCCCATGGGAAGCCTTACCATCTCTGAAGAGTGGATGGGGGTGGGGTGAGGGAAATGTGGAGGGAGTGGGAGGAGGGGAGGGAGTGGGAACTGGGATTGGTATGTAAAATGAAAAAAGATTGCTTAAAAAAAATAAATAAATTGGCTGGGCGGTGGTCCCTGCACCCAGGAGACAGAGGCAGGTGGATCTCTGTGAGTTCGAGGCCAGCCTGGTCTACAAGAGCTAGTTCCAGGACAGCCAGGGCCATTACATAGAGAAACCCTGTCTTGAAAAAAAAGATTATTGTGTACATACCTTGAAAATGCCATCATTGCCATGTTTTTACTTTCAGCTCTCAACTATGTTTAGAAGACATGAAGACCTGATCGCCCACATACATTTTGCTGTATTTATTTACACAACTCATTTGCTGTATCCGCCTCATCTTGGCTCTTCTTTCCCAAGCTTCCCGTCTTTCTTCTGACACCATTTACTTCTTATGGAAGGAATTCACTTCAGTAATTCTTTCCCATCAAGCCTGCTAGCAACCAAGTCTCTTAGAGTGCCTCCAGTTGTATACGTCTTTATTTCTTCTTCTTTATTCCTAACAGCGTCTTCCAATTGCTGAACAACACAGAATTATTGAGCATTCAATTCCTCTTATTTCTTCAAAAGTCCCGTGATGCTTCCTTCTGGCTGCCATGGTTTCTGATGAGAAATCCAGTTAACTATTTAGGTTTCTTTATAGGAATGTCATTTTCCTCTGAGTCCACTGGAAGGTAGACTTTTTGTCTTTCGTTCCAGCCATGTGATTATGATGTCCTGGATGCGGCTTGCTGCTGGCTTACTCTGCAGACCACACAGTTAGCTTCTTGAACCATTGGTTTACATCTTTTCCGATCTTCAAAAGTCTCAAGCCTTAATCCTTTCCCTTATTTTTTTTCTCTCACTTCACTAGCTCTCCTGGCTTTGTGTGTGACATGGACAGGAGAGCTTGTGTTGTTTCCAGTCGGTTCCTTGGAGCTCTCGTCGCTTTTAACCGCGCATTTGTTTTTAGTCTTTAGAGGGGAAAGGTCATTCTGTTACACCCTCCAACTTCAAAGACTCTTTTGTCATTTCGAGTTTGCTACTGAGTCCTCCCATGTTATATCATCGTGGTTGTCACTGTATTTCTCATTTCTAGAATTTCCATTAGGTTCCTCTCTAAAATACAGCTGATATTTTCTGTCTTACCTTTTCTTTGAAGGGTGTTTCCTAATAATTTCAATATCTGTTTTATCTTGTCATTGGTGATCATTACATACCTTTCTCATTTGAGTTGAAAATTTCATGACCAAATTATACCCCAGAAATTGGAATATTTCATTATAAAATATTTGTTCCTTATTTAAATTTTATGTAGGATATTAATATTATACTGTTTTTGAAATTAAAATATAATTGTATCATTTTATACTTTCCCTTTTCTCCTTCAAGCCCCATCCACCCCAGCTGGCTCTCAAATTTTTGGCTTCTATTCACTTTGTCATTACAAATATATATATATATATATATGTGTGTGTGTGTGTGTGTGTGTGTGTGTGTGTGTGTTTGTGTGTGTGTATTTCCTAAATACTTAAACATAGTCTCCTCAGTCTATATGTTACTTGTATGCATATGATTTCAAGACTTGGCACTTGATATTTGATAAAGAAAATTGAGGGAATCTTCCCTGAGAGAGACTGTGTATTCTCCTGCTTTCAGCATTCCTTAGTTACTTAGTTCTTTGTCTAGGGTTTCCTACTCCTTCAGCCAAAGCCAGAGTCCTCTTCCAGGTTCTGCCCAAACCAGAGAGTCCACAGCGTTAGAGGAAGTATTGTATTTCAGTGGAGAAGTACCAGAGATGGGAAAGCCAGTAGACACAGCAGTTGCTCGGCACTTTGAATCCTGACGTTCTCTCTCAGTCTGCCTTCAGATAGTTGCTTATCGGAGTTATCATAATGCTCTCCCATGAATCCTATGCTACATGTCTTCAACTTCTGTACTGTACATTAAGAATAATGAAACAGTGGAATGAGGCCTATTTTGCCTTTTCATGTAGAGTTAACCAACAATTTATACATAGCTAAACTTTGTATACAACTTAAAGACAAATAAAACATTTTTTTTTTCTGGGAGCCTGGAGGAACTGTTGATACGCAGATCACATGAGTGCTTCCCCAACAAACTCCTGAAGACGATGGGGGTGGGGGAGGTTGCAGTGAAAGACATTTGTAAGAATTACATCATAATTAATTTTAAAAACCTGACCATTATTATTACCAAGAGACTGTAACAAAAAGATTTAGCAAGATGAAAAATGACATAGTTAAGTCAGATGTGGTGATGCACACCTTTAATCCCAACACTTCAGAGGCAGAGGCAGGTGGATCTCTGTAAGTTCAAGGTCAGCCTGGTCTGCAGAGCTAGTTCCCAGGACAGCCAGGACTGTTACACAGAGAAACCCTGTCTCAAAAAAAAAAAAACAAAAGAAAGAAAATAAAGAGGAAAAAAAAGAGAGATAATTAACACAGTGTGCATATAGGAAATTGTGAAAAATAAAAATAATAAAATATAAAAATTATGTAACTAATAAAATGGGAGAAGAAAGATACAGATTTTTATTTTCATATCCTTTATATCCAGGAACCAAAAATAAGCCTTAAAAGGTGATAGACATGGGCTTTAAAAAAGGTTTACTGATCAGGTGGCTCCATTGTCAGGAAGATCAGTGGTCAGGAAGCTCAGTGGTCAGGAGGATCAGTGATCAGGTGGCTCAGTCGTCAGGTGGCTGAGCCTCAGTGGTCAGGAAGATCAGTGGTCAGGAAGATCAGTGGTCAGGAGGCTAAGTATTTAGGAGGCTCAGTGGTCAGGAGCCTCATTGGTCAGGAGGCTCAGTGGTCAGGAACCTTATTGATCAGGAGTCTCAGTGGTCAGGAGGCTAAGTGTTTAGAAGGATCAGTGGTCAGGAGCCTCAGTGGTCAGGAGGCTCAGTGGTCAGGAACCTTATTGATCAGGAGGCTCAGTAGTCAGGAGGCTCAGTGGTCAGGCAGTTCAGAGGTCTTGAAGCTCAGTACTCAGGTAGCTCAAAGCCATGAGACACCACACCTTCTGGCCGCCACAGGCACCCGCATGTGTGCATGCACATACGTTACATATCATCACCCACAGGAACTGACACCTTTGCTTCAAAAGCAGATAAACAGCATATCTACAAATAAATTTAAATTTGTCTAAATATTTAACAAAATGCAAAAATAAAAGAAGAATGTGACAAATGGAAACTAATGGTAACAAATGAAGAACAATGGCAAGGAAGAAGATGTTATGACATCACTGCCTCTGTGAAAGGGTCTTTATGTAGGAAGAGAACCTGCACACCAGATAGAGCAGGATTGCTTTTGAAGGATGATCTGATATAGGAGCCGCCCCCTAAACTGTGAAGGACCAACACCAAAATGCTAAAATGACAGCGAAGGTGCAGCAGAGTTCAGGAGCCTAAGAAGTAAACTCTAATCTTCACTATAGAGATGCTACCAAAGTAAGACAAAGCCCTCATTGGCATTGCACCGCCCACCTGTGCCCACCATGGATCCTCCCACTGGAAGTCAAGAATGATTGGTTTAGAAGGAGAGTGGAGCCACGTGGGAGGGGAGGCAGGGAGGAACTAGGAGTACAGGGAGGGGAAACTGCCATCAGGGTTATTATATGAGAAAAGAATCTATCTTCAGTCAAAGGAAAAATAATGATGATCGGACCCTCTCCACCCAGTTGAGCAGATAAAAAGGAATTTGTCTACTTTCAAATGTAATTATCTCATTGAAAAAAGAAAATAACTAAAGTCAATGAATCCCAGGTGGTGGACTTGACCTTGCTGTTTCAGAAACGAAGAAACAAGAAGAAAATTACATGAGGAATGAGTAAATCCATATTAATTTGGAATAATATAAATGGGTGGGACCCTTAGCAGGTTGAAGTGAAGTGTTTAGCTAAGGTGACACATCAGTCCTAGAATCCATGTCTTCTTAGCTCTGTGTCTCTCTACCCAACCAGGGTGGTTTCTACAAAAAGAATGTTGTGTACTTATGCTTGGCTTCAAGTCAGAACAGGACATCAGAGAGACTTTAGATCCGTGGGTCTCAACCTTCCTAGTGCTGTGACCCTTTAATACAGCTCCCCGTCTTGTGGTGATTCCCAACCATAAATTTTTTCCCATTACTACTTCATAACTGTAATTTTGCTACTGTTATGAATCTTGATCTGATATCTGATATGTAAGATATCCGCTATGCGACCCCAGGTTGAGAACCACTGCCTTAGATTCTCAGAGCATGAAGAATGGTGGAAGGTGCTGTTGGGAATATTCTTACAGAAGTGGGGGAAAAAAATGTATGCATCTCTTTACAGATTTTATTTTTCTTTCCAGGTAATGCAGATCGTGACCAAGCTACGTGTATGTATTGTTGTCCTTTATTTCTTAAACAAATTCGCCTTTTCACATGAAACCTAGCTTTCTTCCATTTCTGCTGTATTTACAGATTACCAGTTCTGGTACCCACCTTGGGAAGTGCCCCGCCCACTCGTTTGTGATCCTCTGTGCATATTCACCATTTTCCTGAGAGGGGCGTGTTTTGTGCTGTGCATCGTCGTTGTTCTTGTAATACAGTCCCGGTTTCCAGATATCTATTCCGAAAAGCAGATGCTGTCTGCGAGTAAAACATTTTCAACAGAGGAGGAAATGAAGAGCGTGGAAGAAGAAAGCGAGTCGGAGGAGGCCAGTGAGGAAGAGGAAGATGAAAGCTAGAGAGAGGATGACCTAACAGAAGCCAAAGCCCAATAGAAAAAAAAATACCAAAGCATTGAAAATAGAATGCTGAACTTTTAGAAGAAAATATACAAACGTCAATTGTAATATTTTTCCATTTTTCTATACTTATTTAACAAATTTAAGTTGGAAAGCACAGTGTGAATTGAAAGCTTGCATTGTACAGAAAATATTAAGCTCTTCAAGATAGATAACCACCACAACAAAAGGTTGACTCAAAGTTCTTTGTGGTATCTGATAGAAAGAGGCACTATTTATATCTCCATCTCTCTGTGTAGCCTTTTTATATGTGTTAACAAGTATCTGAAGTATCTACAGTTAATTAAATCAGCCACATAAATAAGATGCTTAGAACCACTCCCTCCAAGTTTAGAATAGTCATTTGATAAATATTAGCTTGGTCTTACTATTATTATTATAATTAACAGTGGTAGTGTATGTGATATTTCCATATGATATCAAAACATAAAATGTTGTTTATGTATATTTGTGAAACAGTTTCTTTGACACTGTTAGAAAATAAAATATATAATTCCTACTTCGTGGTCCGTAATTCATCAAAGACTTTCTGCAATTTTTTTCTTATAGGTTCAATAAATCCAAAAACAATTCATTGTAAATAAGCAAGCAATACGGCTGCTTTTAAGTTTATATGATAAAGTTGACTTCAAGTAATTATTGATAGTTAGAATGTTTAGCAGTCGCAGCTGCTGCGGGAGCGCTCCCCTGCCCACCCCACCCCCGCAGCCCAGCCAAGCCTAGGAGTTGAGTGGGAGTTGGCTGGTTGGGCCCCTGAGCAGCAATGGGAGCCCGCGGTGGGGGCACACTGGGAGGGGCCGCACCACCAGCATCTAAGCTAGGATGTCCCAACATGAAGGTGTCAGCTGTGATGCATGTTTTAAAGGAAACTTTCGAGGTCGCAGATACGAGTGTTTAATTTGCTACGATTACGATCTTTGCGCATCTTGTTTTGAAAGCGGGGCAACAGCAACAAGGCATACAACTGACCATCCGATGCAGTGCATATTATTAACAAGGGTGGATATGGTAGGGAAGCTTTCTCTGTAGAGCAGCCACAGTCTTTTACTTGTCCCTATTGTGGAAAAAAATGGGCTACACGGAAACATCTCTTCAAGAACATGTTACTTCTGTACATGCAGAAGCATCAACAGAAGTGATTTGTCCGATATGTGCGGCGTTACCTGGAGGCGATCCTAATCATGTCACAGGTGACTTCGCAGCTCTTCTGACACTTGAACACAGAGCCCCTAGAGGTTTACATGAATTGAGTGGTATTTCACCCTGGCTGGGGGCTGGGAGGCCCTTGCCCTCCTAGATCAAACACTCACTTTACCAGCAGCTCCACGGGTGGGCGGGCGGGCTCTCCTCTTCGCCTATTTCCGACTCTCCAAGCAGTAAGGAAGCCCTGGATCCTATAGCTGAGCGATTATCTCAGTTATCAGAAGTGAGACGTTTTGAAGGAGGACAGCTTCACTCTTCAGGCCTTGTCGCTTGTCAGTTGCAACAATCGCAGATGCAGCCGCGACTTGAGCGGCAGCTGCGCAGGCAGCAGGAGAACAACTGGAGACAGCTTGCAACACAATCCCACAAGCCCCTGCAAGCCGGTGCCCTGACCCAAGTTGCGTCACCACTACAATCACACAGTCCTTGGCCACAGCCAACACAGCCAACACGGAGAACAGCCAGCAGGCTCTCCAGAACTCCCAGTTCCTATTAACAAGGTTGAAGGATCCCCAAATGTCTGAAGCAGAGCGCCAGTAAATGAAAAGCGAGCGCGCAGACTGAAGCCTGTTTGTCCAAGAGTTCCTTCTGTCCGCATTAGTACGTGAAGAGATCTCGTCCTCAAATGAGGACACTTGTATTCAAGGGTCGGGTAGACGAACGGGGGTAGATGGCAGATTCTGGTGCTATGGGCTGTGTAGATATCATGCCTTTAGATGTTGCTTTAGAAAACCTAAATTTAAAAGAGAAATAAAGGAAATGAGCCTCCACCACCTCCTCTTTGTTGACCTCCCCACCCGCAGACAATGTCCTCTGTGCTGTATTTGCCGACGAAAGTGGACAACAGCTATCCTGGGTTTGTTTGGTGATAGTTATTTCAGGTCTGTCACTCTTGTTACATTGCGGACATTCAAAAGGAAGAAAGAAAAGATGTATGATAATCATTTCCACTTCACTAATTGTTACTTCTAGCAGGGAAATGTAGGTAGCAGCGCAGGGTGATCTCTGCTTCCTGTACCTTGACATGCAAAAGGCTCTCCCCACTCAAACTGAGGAGGAAATTGAATTCTCTAATGAGGCTGCTGTGTGTATTTATGAATATTAATGAATAAATATTGCTTAGATGGTTTACCTTTTAAAAAGTGTTTAGTAGAAGTTTACAGTTAAAGGAAAAATAAGTTTACAACATGAATGGAAATACTAATAATTTAATCCAATAAAATTTTACCCTGGCAAAATATACAAAATAGCATCTTGTCTTATAAACCCTAGGCATTTCTAGCTATGATTAGCATTATATTAAAAGCGTTTTTTTAAAGTCAGGCAAAAGATAAGTACACAAAAAACAACAACAAATAAGAAAAAGAACCACAACCCTAGACTACCCTCTTTGTTCTAAGTTTCTAGAGCTTTGCTATTTGTTTCCTTTCCCTGGTTTTCTGAGGGATCTAAATTTTAGAAATTGATGTGATCTTTCCCATGATAGAGCCACCTGCTTCTATCCCGCATCCTGGGAGAAAGGGTTGGGTAGAGAAATGGAGACGCACTCTGAGGTGACTACTGATTGTTACTATTGTGCGCTTGTATTCAAGGGTCGGATAGAGAACGGAGATACACTCTGTAGTGAGTGTACGGCTTGGTATTAATATCCGCTTGCATTCTGCTCCATTGCGTCCCAAAGCGCCTCCATGCAATGAATACTCAGAGCCACCCTGTGAAGCTATTATTGTTTCTATGTTTAAGATGAGACATATGACCTTGATATGTGAAATGGTTTAGCGAAAGCAGAATTAACAGCTGCCTCTTACAGCTGGAGTCCAATGGGGGCAGATGGCCCAAATTATAGAACCCCTCTTGGGACAGCAAAACCCATGGGAGGAGTCGGGTAGCTGAGGAAGGGAGTTACCTAGAAGTAACAGAAGGCTCTTCTCCTCCATCCTACCTACCATCCGTCCGGAAAAAGAGAAAGCCTAGGGTGCAGTATGCTGACGGAGGTCTAGCAGTGATCTGAAGCCAGAGACCACGGTAATCAGAACATTTAATTCCAGAAGCTGCTGGCTCTGGAGAAGACTTCCAAACAAGCAGTGGAGGAGCCCCTCGCCCCGCCCTTTGAGGCCGTGGGACGTGTGGAGGCCATGGGGCATGTGGGCAGATAGGGTCTGTTTGAAAGCTGAGAAATATAAGCCAACCGTCCCTTTCTGAGGCTATCTCAGGGCAACCAGTCCCTCATACAAGGCTCGTATAAGCCTTTGGGACTAGCGCTTATCTCAGCTGAGGTCCTGATGAATATCAGGGGCAGGAAACAATAGAAAAAAGGGCAGGCGCTGCTAAAAGAACTTGGTATTGGGAAGTGGTGTTTGATGGCCAGGTCACAAGCCTGGTCAAGACTGTATTTACGGGAGACTAAGAAAGAAATTAAACCAGGGCCCTGAGACCGGTGTAGGACATGGGTTGCAGTCGAGTTACCGGGACCTGCATGAAGTGGGCCAATCTAACCATTTCGGATCCGCATGTAAAAATATAAAATGTTCACGAGGTGCTAAGGCAGTAGGAGCAAGCTGAGAGGGGAGGAAGCCAGACAAAGTGCGCCTTCACATTTTCCGAATACAGACGTGGCTGGATTTGCACCTAGCCAGAATCCTTAGCCCCAAAAACTGGTGGGTAACGGAACACCGTGTTGGGCAGCTTATGGAGGGCTGTAAGGCCAGACCAGTGATTCGTTCCAAGAGTAAAGGGGACAGGTGATCCAAAAGTGCAGGCAGTTCCTACTGTACGCCCCTGCAAAGGAAGGTCTCTGTTGTCCAAGGTTTCTGTTCCTCCCAGCACTGCAGAAGCTCAGGCCCAAGTAAACACACAGAGGCCTATATTCATTATAAAACTGGTTGGCCTAGTAGCTCAGGCTTCTTATTAACTAATTCTTACATCCTACATCTTAACCCATTATTCTTGTCTGTGCTAGCCTTGTGGCTTCGTACCTTTCACTGGCGCGGCATTTTCATCTTGCATCCTCTCGGTCTGGATGACAACTGCAGACTGACCTTTCCTCTTCCCAGCATTCTCCTGTTCTCATTGCCCTGCCTCTACTTCCTGCCTGGTTGTTACACCTATACTTTCTGCCTGGCTATTGACCAATCGGTGTTTTATTAAAAATAATACAAGTGACAGGCTAAAAGACCATTGTCCCACGGCAGGTCTCTCGGGATGAGACCGTTCCTGGCTACTCCCCTGAAGTAATGGCCAAGGTCGCCGGTAGTTTTGAACTTCTGTAATAACCTGACATTCCCAGGGACCAATGGACATTCAATTGCCTCCCCAAGGATTCTCTCCACCCACTCACTCTTCATTTTGGGGTGACTTGGGACTTTCCATCACTGTTCTGCCCAGCCTCTGTATAAAGGTCTTCTTACATGTGGCTGGCATAAACGCCAAACGTGGAGTGTTTTACTGAGTCACGCAGACCGAGAATTCTCCGTGCGGTTGGGAAAGATGCAAGTGATAGCCATCAAGGTAATCGGGGGAAGTTCGCAGTAGCCTGTGCCTGCAGATGTTAAAGGGTATGTAAAAGGTAAACACGTGCTCCTAGAAGCCAAGAGGAGATTAGTTAGCATGCCAACTGGCTTTTATGCCAACTTGACACAAGCTGGAGTCATCTGAGAAGAGAGAACCTAAATGAAGAATATACGTTCCCTAAGATTCAACTGTAGGACATTTCCTTAATTGCTGACCAATGTGGGAGGGCCCAGTCCAGGGTGGAGACACCCTGGGCCCGTGGTACTGGGTTCTATAATAAAGCAGCAAGCTGAGCAAATCCTTGAGGGGCAGAGTTTGTAAGGAGCTCCTGCCTCTGGGTTCCTGATCTGCCTGTGTTCCTGCTCCTATTTCTTTCAGTGATATGGACGTGGAAGCAAAACAAACCCTTTCCTCTCCAAGTCACATTTGGCTGTGGGGCTTTAACACTGCAGTAGTCACGGAAGTAAGATGGTTGGGAATCTCGGCGTTAGGAGTAAGTTGCTTTCCTCGGCATTGGCTTTGACCACAGAGACTTTAGCGGCCGCTGTCATGGTAAGACTCCATGGCTAAAGAGATTGAGAGACCGCATGCTTTGGCTGCCAGACTTGGAGAAACAAAGCTAGGACTAGGATCAAAATGCCTCCCTCCTAGCTAGCTCCTGTGAAGCCAGAAGTTGTGAAGGACTCTGGGAGAATCAAGGTCAGAGGTCCTGCTCAGCTTGGGTCCTGGATACTTCACAACAAAAGTGCCAGGCAGTAGCAATAAAAGTGTCAAGTAGCACCGTAG